GATATATAACAGTGGTGTACTCACCCTAACCTGATATATAACAGTAATGTACTCACACTAACCTGATATATAACTGTGGTGTATTCACCCTAACCTGATGTATAACTGTGATGTACTCACCCTAACCTGATATATAACAGTGATGTACTGACCCTAACCTGATATATATGATGTACTCACCCAAACCTGATATATGACATTGATGTACTCCCCCTAACCTGATACATAAAAGTGATGTACTCACCGTAACCTGATATATAGCAGTGACGTACACACCCTTAGCTGATATATAACAATGATGTACTCACCCAAACCTGATATATGACATTGATGTACTCACCCTAACCTGATACATAAAAGTGATGTACTCACCGTAACCTGATATATAACAGTGATGTACTCACCCTATCCTGATATATAATAGTGGTGTACTAACCTAACCTGATATATAACAGTGACGTACTCACCCTAACCTGATATATAACAGTGGTGTACTCACCCTAACCTGATATATAACAGTGGTGTACTCACCCTAATCTGATGTATAACAGTGACGTACTCACCCTAACCTGATATATAACAATGATGTACTCACCCTAACCTGATATATAATAGTGATGTACTCACCCTTACCTGATATATAGCAGTGACGTACACACCCTAAGCTGATATATAACAATGATGTACTAACCCAAACCTGATATATAACATTGATGTACTTACCCTAACCTGATATATAACAGTGATGTACTAACCCTAACCTGACATGTGACAGTGATGTACTCACCCTAACCGGATATATAACAGTGACGTACGCATCCTAAGCTGATATATAACAATGATGTACTCACCCAAATCTGATATGTGACATTGATGTACTCACCCTAACCTGATACATAACAGTGATGTACTCACCGTAACCTGATATATAACAGTGATGTACTCACCCTAACCTGATATATAACAGTGGTGTACTAACCTAACCTGATATATAACAGTGACGTACTCACCCTAGCCTGATGTATAACAGTGACGTACTCACCCTAACCTGATGTATAACTGTGATGACTCACCCTAACCTGATATATAACGGTGACGTATTCACCCTAACCTGATATGTAACAATGATTAACTGACCCTAGCCTGATATATAACAGTGACGTACTCACCCTAACCTGATATATTACAATGATGTACTGACCCTAACCTGATATATAACTGTGATGTACTGACCCTAACCTGATATATAACAATGATATCTTCAACCAAACCTGATATATAACACTGATGTACTCACCCTAACCTGATACATAACAGTGATGCACTCACCCTAACCTGATGTATAACTGTGATGTACTCACCCTAACCTGATATGTAACAGTGATGACTCACCCTAACCTGATATATAACAGTGGTGTACTCACCCTAACCTGATATATAACTGTTATGTACTCACCCTAACCTGATATGTAACAGTGAGGTACTCACCCTAACCTGATATGTAACAGTGATGACTCACCCTAACCTGATAAATAACAGTGGTGTACTCACCCTAACCTGATATATAACTGTGGTGTACTCACCTTTACCTGATAAATAACAGTGGTGTACTCACCCTAACCTGATATATAACTGTGGTGTACTCACCCGAACCTGATATATAGCAGAGATGTACTCACCCTATCTTGATATATAACAGTGATGTTACACACCCTAACCTGATAGGTAACAGTGATGTGTTACCCTGACCTGATATATAACAGGGACGTACACAACCTAACCTGATATATCTCACCCTAACCTGATTTGTAACAGTGATGACTCACACTAACCTGATAAATAACAGTGGTGCACTCACCCTAACCTGATATATAACACTGACGTACTCACCTTTACCTGATAAATAACAGTGGTGTACTCACCCTAACCTGATATATAGCAGTGATGTACTCACCCTAACTTGATATATAACAGGGACGTACACACCCTAACCTGATATATAATAGTGATGTACACACCCTAACCTGATATATAATAGTGATGTACTCACACTAACCTGATATATAGCAGTGATGTACTCACCCTAACCTGATATGTGACAGTGACGTACACACCCTAACCTGATATATAATAGTGATGTACTCACCTTAACCTGATATATAACAGTGACGTACACACCCTAAGCTGATATATAACAATGATGTACTCACCCAAACTTGATATATAACACATTGATGTACTCACCCTAACCTGATATATAGCAGTGATGTATTAACCCTAACCTGACATGTGACAGTTATGTACTCACCCTGACCTGATATATAGCAGTGATGTACTCACCCTAACCCGATATATAGCAGTGATGTACTCACCCTAACCTGATATGTGACAGTGACGTACACACCCTAACCTGATATATAATAGTGATGTACTCACTTTACCCTGATATATAACAGTGACGTACACACCCTAAGCTGATATATAACAATGTTGTACTCACCCAAACTTGATATATAACACATTGATGTACTCGCCCTAACCTGATATATAGCAGTGATGTATTAACCCTAACCTGTCATGTGACAGTTATGTACTCACCCTGACCTGATATATAGCAGTGATATACTCACCCTAACCTGATATATAACAGTGACGTACTCACCCTAACCTGAAAAATAACAGTGGTGTACTCACCCTCACCTGATATATAACTGTGGTGTACTCACCTTAACCTGATATATAACAGTGGTGTACTCACACTAAGCTGATATATAACAGTGATGTACTGACCCTAACCTGATATGTAACAGTGATGTACTGTCCCTAGCCTGATATATAACAATGATGTACACACCTTAACCTGATCTATATAACAGTGGTGTACTCACCTTAACCTGATATATAACAGTGACGTACTCACCCTAACCTGATATATAACAGTGGTGTTCTCACCTTAACCTGATATATAACTGTGATGTACTCCCCCTAACCTGATATGTAACAGTGATGACTCACCCTAACCTGATATATAACAGTTACGTACTCACCCTAACCTGAGATATATAACAGTGGTGTACTCACCTTAACCTGATATATAACAGTGACGTACTCACCCTAACCTGCTATATAACAGTGGTGTACTCACCTTAACCTGATATATAACAGTGACGTACTCACCCTAACCTGATATATAACAGTGGTGTACTCACCTTAACCTGATATATAACAGTGACGTACTCACCCTAACCTGATATATAACTGTGGTGTACTCACCCTAACCTGATATATAACAGTGATGTACTCACCCAAACCTGATATATAATTGTGATGTACTGACCCTAACCTGATATATAACTGTGATGTACTCACCCGAACCTGATATGTAACAGTGATGTACACACCCTAACCTGATATATAACTGTGATGTACTCACCCTAACCTGACTTGTAACAGTGATGTACACACCCTAACCTGATATATAACTGTGATTTACTCACCCTAACCTGATATATAACTGTGATGTACTCACCCTAACCTGATATGTAACAGTGACGTACTCACCCTAACATGATAAATAACTGTGGTGTACTCACCTTAACCTGATATATAACAGTGGTGTACTCACCCTAACCTGATATATAACAGTGATGTACTGACCCTAACCTGATGTATAACTGTGATGTACTCATCCTAACCTGATATATAACAGTGATGTACTCACCCTAACCTGATATATAACAGTGGTGTACTCACCCTAAACTGATATATAACAGTGATGTACTGACCCTAACCGGATGTATAACTGTGATGTACTCATACTAACCTGATATATAACAGTGATGTACTCACACTAACCTGATATGTAACAGTGATGACTCCCCCTAACCTGATATATAACAGTGGTGCACTCACCCTAACCTGATATATAACACTGACGTACTCACCTTTACCTGATAAATAACAGTGGTGTACTTACCCTAACCAGATATATAATAGTGATGTACACACCCTAACCTGATATATAACAGTGAGGTACTCACCCTAACCTGATAAATAACAGTGGTGTACTCACCTTAACCTGATATATAACTGTGGTGTACTCACCTTAACCTGATATATAACAGTGGTGTACTCACCCTAACCTGATATATAACAGTGATGTACTGACCCTAACCTGATATGTAACAGTGATGTACTGACCCTAGCCTGATATATAACAATGATGTACACACCTTAACCTGATATATATAACAGTGGTGTACTGACCCTAACCTGATATGTAACAGGGATGTACTGACCCTAGCCTTATATATAACAATGATGTACACGCCTTAACCTGATATATATAACAGTGGTGCACTCACCCTAACCTGATCTATATAACAGTGGTGTACTCTCCTTAACCTGATATATAACAGTAACAGTGGTGTACTCACACTAAGCTGATATATAACAGTGACGTACTCACCGTAACCTGATATATAACATTGATGTACTGACCCTAACCCGATATGTAACAGTGATGACTCACCCTAACCTGATCTATATAACAGTGGTGTACTTACCCTAACCTGATATATAACTGTGGTGTACTCACCCTAAACTGATATATAACAGTGACGTACACACCCTAAGCTGATATATAACAGTGATGTACTCAACTTTACCTGATATATAACAGTAACGTACTCACCCTAACCTGAGATATAACAGTGATGTACTCACCTAAACCTGATATATAAGTCAGTGGTGTACGCTCCTTATCCTGATATATAACAGTGAGGTATTCACTTTAACCTGATATATAACTGTGGTGTACTCACCCTAACCCGATATATAACATATATAACAGTGGAGTACTCACCCTAACCTGGTATATAACATATATAACAGTGGTGTACTCACCCTACACAGTGGCAACCATGGTTATAGCAATAACCGAAGCTACAATGGTTATGATGATTGTGGCACTCGGATTGATGGCTGCAGTCTAAAAAATTAACCAACAAAAACCCATATTTGCAAATGTTGCATTCATTTATCGGGTAGAAATCTCGAAGCATAAGGGAAAAATATCGGATTGCAAAATAAATTATAAGCATATTTAAACCTTCACAAAGTTCCTTTCGTTTATTAGTGTAGTAAAGCATCACTTACAATACCTAACTTTCTACATCTTAGGGGCTAACCTACTGTATGTAGGGGCTAACCCTACTGTATTTAGGGGCTAACCCTACTGTATTTGGGGGCTAACCCTACTGTATTTAGGGGCTAACCTAACTGTATTTTGGGGCTAACCCTACTGTATTTAGGGGCTAACCCTACTGTATTTAGGGGCTAACATTACTGTATTTAGTGGCTAACCCTTCAGTATTTGGGGGCTAACCCTACTGTATTACGGGGCTAACCCTACTGTATTTACGGGCAAACACAACTGTATTTAGAGCTAACCCTACTGTATTTAGGGGCTAACCCTACTGTTTTTGGGGGCTAACCCTACTGTATTTGGGGGCTGACCCTACTGCATTTAGGGGCTAATCCTACTGTATTTAGGGGCTAACCCTACTGTATTTAGGGGCTAACACTACTGTATTTAGGGGCTAACACTACTGTATTTAGGGGCTAACACTACTGTATTTAGGGGCTAACCCTACTGTATTTAGGGGCTAACACTACTGTATTTAGGGGCTAACACTACTGTATTTAGGGGCTAACACTACTGTATTTAGGGGCTAACCCTACTGTATTTAGGGGCTAACACTACTGTATTTAGGGGCTAACACTACTGTATTTAGGGGCTAACACTACTGTATTTAGGGGCTAACCCTACTGTATTTAGGGGCTAACACTACTGTATTTAGGGGCTAACACTACTGTATTTAGGGGCTAACACTACTGTATTTAGGGGCTAACCCTACTGTATTTAGGGGCTAACACTACTGTATTTAGGGGCTAACACTACTGTATTTAGGGGCTAACACTACTGTATTTAGGGGCTAACCCTACTGTATTTAGGGGCTAACACTACTGTATTTAGGGGCTAACACTACTGTATTTAGGGGCTAACACTACTGTATTTAGGGGCTAACCCTACTGTATTTAGGGGCTAACACTACTGTATTTAGGGGCTAACACTACTGTATTTAGGGGCTAACACTACTGTATTTAGGGGCTAACCCTACTGTATTTAGGGGCTAACACTACTGTATTTAGGGGCTAACACTACTGTATTTAGGGGCTAACACTACTGTATTTAGGGGCTAACCCTACTGTATTTAGGGGCTAACACTACTGTATTTAGGGGCTAACACTACTGTATTTAGGGGCTAACACTACTGTATTTAGGGGCTAACCCTACTGTATTTAGGGGCTAACACTACTGTATTTAGGGGCTAACACTACTGTATTTAGGGGCTAACACTACTGTATTTAGGGGCTAACCCTACTGTATTTAGGGGCTAACACTACTGTATTTAGGGGCTAACACTACTGTATTTAGGGGCTAACACTACTGTATTTAGGGGCTAACCCTACTGTATTTAGGGGCTAACACTACTGTATTTAGGGGCTAACACTACTGTATTTAGGGGCTAACACTACTGTATTTAGGGGCTAACACTACTGTATTTAGGGGCTAACACTACTGTATTTAGGGGCTAACACTACTGTATTTAGGGGCTAACACTACTGTATTTAGGGGCTAACACTACTGTATTTAGGGGCTAACACTACTGTATTTAGGGGCTAACACTACTGTATTTAGGGGCTAACACTACTGTATTTAGGGGCTAACACTACTGTATTTAGGGGCTAACACTACTGTATTTAGGGGCTAACACTACTGTATTTAGGGGCTAACACTACTGTATTTAGGGGCTAACACTACTGTATTTAGGGGCTAACACTACTGTATTTAGGGGCTAACACTACTGTATTTAGGGGCTAACACTACTGTATTTAGGGGCTAACACTACTGTATTTAGGGGCTAACACTACTGTATTTAGGGGCTAACACTACTGTATTTAGGGGCTAACACTACTGTATTTAGGGGCTAACACTACTGTATTTAGGGGCTAACACTACTGTATTTAGGGGCTAACACTACTGTATTTAGGGGCTAACACTACTGTATTTAGGGGCTAACACTACTGTATTTAGGGGCTAACACTACTGTATTTAGGGGCTAACACTACTGTATTTAGGGGCTAACACTACTGTATTTAGGGGCTAACACTACTGTATTTAGGGGCTAACACTACTGTATTTAGGGGCTAACACTACTGTATTTAGGGGCTAACACTACTGTATTTAGGGGCTAACACTACTGTATTTAGGGGCTAACCCTACTGTATTTAGGGGCTAACACTACTGTATTTAGGGGCTAACACTACTGTATTTAGGGGCTAACACTACTGTATTTAGGGGCTAACCCTACTGTATTTAGGGGCTAACACTACTGTATTTAGGGGCTAACACTACTGTATTTAGGGGCTAACACTACTGTATTTAGGGGCTAACCCTACTGTATTTAGGGGCTAACACTACTGTATTTAGGGGCTAACACTACTGTATTTAGGGGCTAACACTACTGTATTTAGGGGCTAACCCTACTGTATTTAGGGGCTAACACTACTGTATTTAGGGGCTAACACTACTGTATTTAGGGGCTAACACTACTGTATTTAGGGGCTAACCCTACTGTATTTAGGGGCTAACCCTACTGTATTTAGGGGCTAACACTACTGTATTTAGGGGCTAACACTACTGTATTTAGGGGCTAACACTACTGTATTTAGGGGCTAACACTACTGTATTTAGGGGCTAACACTACTGTATTTAGGGGCTAACCCTACTGTATTTAGGGGCTAACACTACTGTATTTAGGGGCTAACACTACTGTATTTAGGGGCTAACACTACTGTATTTAGGGGCTAACCCTACTGTATTTAGGGGCTAACACTACTGTATTTAGGGGCTAACACTACTGTATTTAGGGGCTAACACTACTGTATTTAGGGGCTAACCCTACTGTATTTAGGGGCTAACACTACTGTATTTAGGGGCTAACACTACTGTATTTAGGGGCTAACACTACTGTATTTAGGGGCTAACCCTACTGTATTTAGGGGCTAACACTACTGTATTTAGGGGCTAACACTACTGTATTTAGGGGCTAACACTACTGTATTTAGGGGCTAACCCTACTGTATTTAGGGGCTAACACTACTGTATTTAGGGGCTAACCCTACTGTATTTAGGGGCTAACCCTACTGTATTTGGGGGCTAACCCTACTGTATTTGGGGGCTAACCCTACTGTATTTGGGAGCTAACACTACCGTATTTAGGGGCTAACCCTACTGTAATTGGGGGCTAACCCTACTGTATTTGGGGGCTAACACTACTGTATTTAGGGGCTAACACTACTGTATTTAGGGACTAACACTACTGTATTTAGCGGCTAACCCTACTGTATTTAGGGGCTAACCCTACTGTATTAAGGTCTAACCCTACTCTATTTAGGGGCTAACACTACTTTATTTAGGGGCTAACCTTACTGTATTTAGGGGCTAACACTACTATATTTAGGGGCTAACCCTACTGTATTTGGGGGCTAACCCTACTGTGTTTGGGGGCTAACACTACTGTATTAGGGGCGGACCCTACTGTATTTAGCGGCGAACACTATTGTATTTAGGGACTAACACTACTGTATTTGGGGGCTAACCCTATCGTATTTAGGGGCTAACCCTACTGTATTTTGGGGCTAACCCTTCTGTATTTAGGGGCTAACCCTGCTGTATTTGGGGGCTAACCCTACTGTATTTAGGGGCTAACCCTACTGTATTAAGGTCTAACCCTACTCTATTTAGGGGCTAACACTACTGTATTTAGGGGCTTACCCTACAGTATTTAGGGGCTAACCCTACTGTATTTGGGGGCTAGCCCTTCTGTATTTAGGGGCTAACCCTGCTGTATTTGGGGGCTAACCCCACTGTATTAAGGGGCTAACCCTACTGGATTTGGGGGCTAACCTTACTGTATTTGGGGGCTAGCCCTGCTGTATTTGGGGGCTAACCCCACTGTATTAAGGGGCTAACCCTACTGTATTTGGGGGCTAACCTTACTGTATTTGGGGGCTAACCCTGCTGTATTTGGGGGCTAACCCCACTGTATTAAGGGGCTAACCCTACTGTATTTGGGGGCTAACCCTACTGTATTTGGGGGCTAACCCTACTGTATTTGGGAGCTAACACTACCGTATTTAGGGGCTAACCCTACTGTAATTGGGGGCTAACCCTACTGTATTTGGGGGCTAACACTACTGTATTTAGGGGCTAACACTACTGTATTTAGGGACTAACACTACTGTATTTAGCGGCTAACCCTACTGTATTTAGGGGCTAACCCTACTGTATTAAGGTCTAACCCTACTCTATTTAGGGGCTAACACTACTTTATTTAGGGGCTAACCTTACTGTATTTGAGGCTAACACTACTGTATTTAGGGGCTAACCCTACTGTATTTGGGGGCTAACCCTACTGTGTTTGGGGGCTAACACTACTGTATTAGGGGCGGACCCTACTGTATTTAGGGGCGAACACTATTGTATTTAGGGACTAACACTACTGTATGTAGGGGCTAACATTACTGTATTTGGGGGCTAACCCTACTGTATTTGGGGACTCACACTACTGTATTTAGGGGCTAACCCTACTGACCAGATCGAGTGTGACGGTTGTCAGTATAATGTGACCAGATCGAGTGTGACGGTTGCTGTATAATGTGACCAGATCGAGTGTGACGGTTGTCTGTATAATGTGACCAGATCGAGTGTGACAGTTGTCAATATAATGTGACCAGAGCGAGTGTGACGGTTGTCAGTATAATGTGACAAAATCGAGTGTGACGGTTGCCAGATTAATGTGACCAGATCGAGTGTGACGGTTGTCTGTATAAAGTGACCAGATCGAGTGTGACAGTTGTCAATATAATGTGACCAGAGCGAGTGTGACGGTTGTCAGTATAGTGTGACAAAATCGAGTGTGACGGTTGCCAGATTAATGTGACCAGATCGAGTGTAACGGTTGTCTGTATAAAGTGACCAGATCGAGTGTGACAGTTGTCAGTATAATGTGACCAGAGCAAGTGTGACGGTTGTCTGTATAAAGTGACCAGATCGAGGGTGACAGTTGTCAGTATAATGTGACCAGAGCGAGTGTGACGGTTGCCAGATTAATGTGACCAGATCGAGTGTGACCGTTGTCTGTATAAAGTGACCAGATCGAGTGTGACAGTTGTCAGTATGATGTGACCAGAGCAAGTGTGACGGTTGTCTGTATAAAGTGACCAGATCGAGTGTGTCAGTTGTCAGTATAATGTGACCAGAGCAAGTGTGACGGTTGTCTGTATAAAGGGACCAGATCGAGTGTGACAGTTGTCAGTGTAATGTGACCAGAGCGAGTGTGACGGTTGTCTGTATAATGTGACCAGATCGAGTGTTACGGTTGTCAGGATAATGTGACCAGATCGAGTGTGACGGTTGCCAGATTAATGTGACCAGATCGAGGGTGACCGTTGTCTGTATAAAGTGACCAGATCGAGTGGGACAGTTGTCAGTATAATGTGACCAGAGCAAGTGTGACGGTTGTCTGTATAAAGTGACCAGATCGAGTGTGACAGTTGTCAGTATGATGTGACCAGAGCAAGTGTGACGGTTGTCTGTATAAAGTGACCAGATCGAGGGTGACAGTTGTCAGTATAATGTGACCAGATCGAGTGTGACGGTTGTCAGTATGATGTGACAAAATCGAGTGTGACGGTTGTCAGATTAATGTGACCGAGTGGAGTGTCATTGTTGTTAGTATATTGTGACCTGATGGAGTGTTATGGTTGTCAGTATAACGTGACCAGGTGGAGTATGATTGTTGTCAGTATAATGTGACCTAGTGGAGTGTAATGGAGAAATTATGAAAAATACGTACGGAAATTAATATTATGTTCGTTTTTTAGCTATTAAATATAACACGGAGAACTGTCAGATAATATCAAGGCTTTTGTTTCAAAAGTCTCCCTGCTTTTGCCAGTGAATAGGTCTACAAATCCTCTTCACCATTTGTTTTCTGATTTAGAGGGTAGGGGAAATAAATATGTTATTACCCGTTTACATCAAGCGATGTCAATTGTCGATGTTTGGCTGTAATAATCTTTTGTGGAAAATATTCTAGAACCAAATAATTGTTAATTGTGTTTATGTGTACGAATAGTGGCTACTTACGAATGCCTGTGTGTGTCGATGTACCGACGCAGATACAATCTCCACTAGAACAGGCGAGGTTCAACCCGTTGTTGCAATTCGTGCTATCACAATCTGCAGTAGAGGTGCACGTCTCCGAATAAACCAAACCTTAAAAACATCAATGATAATTCCAGTAATTGGGGAACTTACGTTCGGGGTATTACAATAAGGGGGATACGCAATAGTATAAGGATGCGTATTTTAAGGGGAGCGATCATTATTCATAAATGTTGGGAAATATTAAAATTTATGTTTTCGCTTTTATAAATCAATCAACATTGTGAACTGAGAGCTCTTTTAAACAACTACCAACACGTATGACATTGTTTGTGCAGACGTAAAGGGTGTTATTATAGGGTGGCGAGAAGTAGATAGGCAGTCTCCCAGAAGGTAGCAATCGGGTGGTAGGTCCAATGTCAACCCATCACCTGTACGTCGTTGTTTTGTCCATCATCCGGATATTTAGATTATTATCTATAACCTCCTGTGTATTGACACAGTGATATCAACTATGCTCCATCAACACACCTATTACCCACTGCATGAACATAAGTGGCGACTACTATGGGAATTTCCCTTCCAAACTGGGGATTTGCGTTTGTGCCTTTCTTGGCTTTACCTCCCTCTTGTCTGATTTAAACGCCGTACACCCTTCCTTATCTTGGACAGCTCTTTCTCCCACCTTTCACAGGTGTGTCTCCCGTTTTAGCCGGGAAAGATTAGCTTGTCATCCCCTAGGGGGAGATAGCCTCGTGCCGATTAGCACGTGTTCGATTGTGACGTCATTAAAATGTGTCACTGGCAATTGTGACGTCATCAAAAGTGAATGACGATATGCATACCCCACATGTGTTTTTGTTTACAAACATACAACTGTCGGTGGAGTGCTGACTGAAATAATAGGATGGGAGAAAAATAATCATCTCCTACCTTGAGGGTCCCAACCCTTGGGGTGATATTTTTGGTTGTCTAACCCTCGGCAGAGCTTTGGGTTAGACAACCAAAAACATCACCCCTCGGGTTGGGGATATCCCGGTCACACCCTCAAGGTAGGGATAGATTCTATTAATCTTACACACAGGGAAATACAAACAATCGTCTTTCCAACTAGATCAGTATACCTCATATAAAAGTACCCTATAAACAAAGACCATGGTACATATACATCATCTCGTACCCAATACACAGATATATAACATACTCATACATCATCTCGTACCCAATACTCAAATATATAACGTACCCATACATCATTTCGTACACAATACTCAGGTATATAACATACCCATTGCATCATATAGTACACAATACCCAGGTATATAACATACCCATACATCATCTCGTACACAATACCCAGGTATATAACATACCCATACATCATCTCGTACACAATACCCAGGTATATAACATACCCATACATCATCTCGTACACAATACCCAGGTATATAACATACCCATACATCATCTCGTACACAATACCCAGGTATATAACATACCTATACATCATCTCGTACACAATACCCAGGTATATAACGTACCAATACATCATCTCGTACCCAATACTTAGGTATATAACATACCCATACATCATCTCGTACACAATACTTAGGTATATAACATACCAATACATCATCTCGTACACAATACTTAGGTATATAACATACCCATACATCATCTCGTACACACTTAGGTATATTCCATACCCATACATCATCTCGTACACAATACTTAGGTATATAGCATACCCTTTCATCATCTCGTACCCAATACACAGATATATAACATACCCATACACCATCTCGTACCCAATACTCAGATATGGAACTGGACTATAGTGAATTTCACGTGTACTTAGATCAGATATCAAATCCATATGTTTCGGTTTTTGTGCCTTCACATATAATATTTGTTTTTCATTTTCATACATTTACTTACATGCAGAAAGGGCAAGCACAGCTATCACAATGAAGGTCCTCATGATTGGTGTCGGGAGCAGGGCAGTGAATGTGAGGCATACCTTCACCGCCTTTTTATATGATACGGGGAGCGTCAAGTCTGGCGTTTTTCACACGACCCTGATCTTATATCTTGTCACACATGTTACGCAGAGCACGATTAACTTGTATCAAGTTTTCCAATGTTGGATGTTTTTCAAGTAAGTTATTTCCCCACCTGTCTGTGTAGAAGTGCAGCTCTGTTGTAATTACGATCTGCTTTTCGTTTGTGGCAGGTTTTACAAAGGTTTAACCACGGAATTAGGCTATCTAAGTCCGTGGTTTAACATGCCCTTCAAGTCCGGCATTAGTTGGAGTTTCCCTTTACCTAAATCGTTGGTGATGCGGACTCGGAAGCTGGAGGTCGCTGGTTCGATCCCCGTCGGAATCACACTGTGCCCTTCCCCCTCTCTCTCCCTCTCTCATATATTGATACAGTACACATAAAAACATCCAGCGCATAATTGATACAGTACATATAGAAACATCAATCCTATATATTGATACAGTACAGATAGAAACATCCAGCGCATAATTGATACAGTACATATAGAAACATCAACCCTATATATTGATACAGTACAGATAAAAACATCCACCTCGTATATTGATACAGTACACATAGAAAAAACCACCTTATATATTGATACAGTACATATAGAAACATCCACCCTATATATTGAAACAGTACATATAGACACATCCACCTTATATATTGATACAGTACATATAGAAATATCCACCCCATATATTGATACAGTACACATAGAAACATCAACCTTATATATTGATACAGTACATATAGAAACATCCACCTCGTATATTGATACAGTACACATAGAAACATCCACCTCGTATATTGATACAGTACACATAGAAACATACACCTTATATATTGATACAGTACATATAGAAACATCCACCTTATATATTGATACAGTATATATAGAAACATCCACCTCGTATATTGATACAGTACACATAGAAACATCCACCCTATATATTGGTACAGTACATATAGAAACATCCGCCTCGTATATTGATACAGTACACATAGAAACATACACCTTATATATTGATACAGTACATATAGAAACATCCACCTTATATATTGATACAGTACATATAGAAACATCCACCCTATATATTGAAACAGTACATATAGACACATCCACCTTATATATTGATACAGTACATATAGAAATATCCCCCCCATATATTGATCCAGTACACATAGAAACATCAACCTTATATATTGATACAGTACATATAGAAACAACCACCTCGTATATTGATACAGCACACATAGAAACATCCACCCTATATATTGATACAGTACATATAGAAATATCCTCCCCATATATTGATACACCAATCACCCCATATATTGAAACTGTACATATAGAAACATCCACCCCATATATTGATACAGTACATATAGAAACATCTAATTTATATATTGATACAGTACATATAGAATCATCCATCCCATATATTGATACAGTACAAATAGAAACATCCACCTCGTATATTGATACAGTACATATAGAAACATCCACCCTATATATTGATAGAGTACATATAGAAACATCCACCTCATATATTAATACAGTACATATAGAAACATCCACCTTATATATTGTTACAGTACATATAGAAACATCCACCTTATATATTGATACAGTACACATAGAAACATCCACATTATATATTGATACAGTACACATAGAAACATCCACCTCGTATATTGATACAGTACACATAGAAACATCCACATTATATATTGATACAGTACATATAGGAACATCCACCCGATATATTGATACAGTTCATATAGAAACATCCACCTCATATATTGATACAGTACACATAGAAACATCCACCTCGTATATTGATACAGTACACAGAGAAACATCCACCTCGTATATTGAAACAGTACACATATAAACATCAACCTCGTATATTGGTACAGTACACATAGAAACATCAACCTCGTATATTGATACAGTACACATAGAAACATCCACCCTATATATTGGTACAGTACATATAGAAACCTCCACCTCGTATATTGATACAGTGCACATGGAAACATCCACCTTAGATACAGTACACAGAGAAACATCCACCTCGTATATTGATACAGCACACATAGAAACATCCACCCTATATATTGGTACAGTACATATAGAAACCTCCACCTCGTATATTGATACAGTGCACATGGAAACATCCACCTTATATATTGATACAGTACATATAGGAACATCCCCCCGATATATTGATACAGTTCATATAGAACATCCACCTCATATATTGATACAGTACAGATAGAAACATCCACCTCGTATATAGTAATACAGTACACATAGAAACATCCACCTTGTATATTGATACCGTACACATAGAAACATCCACCTCATATATTGATACAGTACAGATAGAAGCATCCACCCCATATAGTACATATAGAAACATCCACCTTATATATTGATACAGTACACAAAGAAACATCCACCTCGTATATCGATACAGTACACATAGAAACATCCACCTCATATATCGATACAGTACACATAGAAACATCCACCTTGTGTATTGATACAGTACACATAGAAACATCAACCTCGTATATAGTGATACAGTACACATAGAAACATCAACCTCGTATATAGTGATACAGTACACATAGAAACATCCACCTCTTATATTGATACAGTACAGATAGAAACATCCACCTCGTATATAGTAATACAGTACACATAGAAACATCCACCTTATATATTGATACAGTACACAAAGAAACATCCACCTCGTATATTGATACAGTACACATAGAAACATCAACGTCTTATATTGATACAGTACACATATAAACATCAACCTCTTAGATAGATACAGTACACATATAAACATCAACCTAGTATATTGGTACAGTACACATAGAAACATCAACCTCGTATATAGTGATACAGTACACATAGAAACATCCACCCTATATATTGGTACAGTACATATAGAAACCTCCACCTCGTATATTGATACAGTGCACATGGAAACATCCACCTTAGATACAGTACACAGAGAAACATCCACCTTATATATTGATACAGTACACAAAGAAACATCCACCTCGTATATTGATACAGCACACATAGAAACATCCACCCTATATATTGGTACAGTACATATAGAAACCTCCACCTCGTATATTGATACAGTGCACATGGAAACATCCACCTTAGATACAGTACACAGAGAAACATCCACCTCGTATATTGATACAGTACACAGAGAAACATCCACATTATATATTGATACAGTACATATAGGAACATCCACCCGATATATTGATACAGTTCATATGGAAACATCCACCTCATATATTGATACAGTACACATTGACCTTATATATTGATACAGTACATATAGGAACATCCACCCGATATATTGATACAGTTCATATGGAAACATCCACCTCATATATTGATACAGTACAGATAGAAACATCCACCTCGGATATAGTGATACAGTACACATAGAAACATCCACCTCTTATATTGATACAGTACAGATAGAAACATCCACCCAATATATTGTTACATGATACATAGACACATCCACCTCATAATTGATACAGTACACATAGAAACATCCACCCCATCCACATTATATATTGATACAGTACATATAGGAACATCCACCCGATATATTGATACAGTTCATATAGAACATCCACCTCATATATTGATACAGTACACATAGAAACATCCACCCAATATATTGTTACATGATACATAGACACATCCACCTCATAATTGATACAGTACATATAGAAACATCCAACAAATATATTGATACAGAACACATAGAAACATCCACCTCATAATTGATACAGTACACATAGAAACATCCACCTTATATATTGATACAGTACACAAAGAAACATCCACCTCGTATATTGATACAGTACACATAGAAACATCCACCACATATATTGATACAGTACACATAAAAACATCCACCTTATATATTGATACAATACACAAAGAAACATCCACCTTATATATTGATACAGTACACATAGAAACATCCACCCCAAATATTGATTCAGTACATATAGAAACATCCACTTTATATATTGATACAGTACATATAGAAACATCCAAGCCATATATTGATACAGTACACATAGAAACATCCACCTCGTATATTGATACAGTACACATAGAAACATCCACCTCGTATATTGATGCACTACACATAGAAACATCCGCCTCATATATTGATACAGTACACATAGAAACATCCACCTCATATATTGATACAGTGCAGATAGAAACATCCAATCCATATATTGATACAGTACCCATAGAAACATCCACCTCGTATATAGTGATACAGTACATATAGAAACATCCACCTCATATATTGATACAGTACACATAGAAACATCCACCTAATATATTGATACAGTACAGATAGAAACATCCACCTCGTATATTGATACAGTACAAATAGAAACATCCACCTCATATACTGATACAGTACACATAGAAACCTCCACCTCATATATTGATACAGCACACATAGAAACAGCCACCTCATATATTGATACAGCACACATAGAAACAGCCACCTCATATATTGATACAGTACACATTGAAACATCCACCTCACATATTGATACAGTACACAGATAAGCATCCACCTCATATATTGATACAGTACAGATAGAAGCATCCACCCCATATATTGATACATTACACATATAAACATCAATCTCGTATATTGATACAGTNACATAGAAACATCCACCCTATATATTGGTACAGTACATATAGAAACCTCCACCTCGTATATTGATACAGTGCACATGGAAACATCCACCTTATATATTGATACTGTACATATAGAAACATCCACCTCGTATATTGATACAGTACACATAGAAACATCCACCTTATATATTGATACAGTACATATAGAAACATCCACCTTATATATTGATACAGTACACATAGAAACATCCACCTCGTATATTGA